GCTGATCCGTGTCGATCAAAATAAACAATTCTATTGGCTTCAGGTCACGTGATGGACACGGCTTTAGACGACCCCCATATATATATTTCTATTTACGTATGCATGTATGTACGTGCGTACTTTTTTTTATTTTATTAAAAAAAAAATATAATATAATATTTTTGACTTGCTGATACTACTAATTTTGGCTGGATCATTCGGCGGTGTAAATCGGCTAATAACGTATCAGATTACATTTCGGCACCACAATGATCTCATATAAACATTGTGGCTTTCCATTTTTTTCTCATTTGTCGCATTTTTCCAAATCAAACGCCACCATTCATTTAAAAGGATTTTTGTGTTCGTTTATCCTTCCATTTCGAAATGCATCCGATAATAAGTCACTTTCGATTGTTGTGTCAATGTGCCATGGCTAAACTTGAGACCCTTCTTTTTTGGCCTCTTCACTCACAGGTATCGTAGTTTAAGCCTAAAAATAGAATATAGAACCCGAACCTCGATGACTAGTATGGCACCGTCACACCATCACTTCTTTCGTCATACTTTATAAAACCTGTATTTAACCGGTATAATGCCATTTTTGTTTAGTCATATTGCAGTGAAATACAGATGTTCATGCAAGTTACCTTTGCACCCCTTTTCTCGCCTTAGTTGGCTGTGCCTGTATTGGACCTTTTAAAAAACCACAATTTTCCTCCCCCACCTCTTCTCAGTGTACACATAGCCTTTCTCAAGCCACACTTTCAAAATCATAGTTTCTCAACAATTTTCCCTTTATTTAAAATATGGACAGCGTCAAAGTATCAAAAGCTAATACTCATGGCGCTAAAGACAATACACAAAATGAAGTTAAAAGGGAAGAAGCCTCAGCTTCTCACGTTGACTCCACTGCGCCTCCCAACGCCGCTTCGCCTAATTCTTTACCAACTCACACGCAGGTAACGGATAATTCTCTACACATTCAAAACGTAGAGGCTCAAACACAGCAAGTTGCTGTTTCTGCTTCGAATAAAGATAATTCTATCTCCCCTTCAACTACTTCAATTGTTCCTTCTCAACCGTCAAACGTTGCAACGGTTAGTTGGCCTTCCTCTGATAGCAAACCAACAATGTCAAATTCTACTATCTCCGATTCTACACAAAAACAAGTTCTTTCAACCCCTCAAAAAGAGACAACTACTGATCCGAAAGGTAACTAACTATTTTATCTGCTATCATTAAAATATATGCATTTATATAATCCTCTTTACATTATATTAATTTCATCTATTACTAATAATTGATTAAACTTTTGATAAAATCTTTTAACTCACTACCATTAATACTTCAATATCATTAGGGTTGGTTAACTTTCCATCTTCCACACCTATAGACTCTTCTCAACTAGGATCATTCAATCAATTTCCTGTTAATCCAGAACAAACAACTCTTGGTCAACCTAATAGTCCTAGTCCCGCAAAGGCAAAACCATTCGTCTGCGGGACGTGTAATCAAACATTTAGTCGACAACATAATCTAAAGTCTCACGCTTTAACTCATTCTCAAGAAAAACCTTTTCAATGTAACGTATGTCAGCATTTCTTTCGTAGGCAACATGATTTGAAAAGGCACATGAAGTTGCATACAGGTGAAAAACCGTATCAATGCACTTATTGTAAGAGAAGTTTTGCAAGATTAGATGCATTGAATAGACATTTGCGCGCAGAAAGTTTTTGTGGTGGACCACAGAAAAAATTATATCAAGGTTCTGACTCAAAGTCGGCAGAACAAGTACAACAACAGCCACCAGTTCAGCTTTCGCCACAACAAACTACGCCACAGCCACAACTACTGTCTTCATCTCAGCCGCAATCAAAGACAGCATTACAATCAGATCCAAAATCAAATTCATCGCCAGTATCGCAAAAACAGGTACAACAACAGCAATTCAAGCAGACTTCTGAGGAATTACCGAACAAGCAGGTATCGAATCTATCGACAACTTCTCATTCAAAAATTGACGTATCGAGACAAACTCAAGATTATTACAAACGACAGCAAATGATGAATCCGGATTATCATTCATGGCCTCCCCAACTAAAAAATCAACAACCATCATCTAATCAATCTAATGCATTACAAGCAAAACCAATTACCTCAAACATCATAATGCCAAATCATCAAATCATATTTCCAGTAGAAACACCCACGTCTATACCTACCAACGGTGCTACACCTCATTATCAATTACAATACGCACATAGTCCTTCTGAATTTAATGTACAAATTTCAGAAACACGAAGGGCACCTGAATCATTGGTGCCAAGTGAACAGCAAGATATTGATGGCCGCATTATTCATCCCAAATCGACATCTCAAAGAGACATGCAACAACTCCTTGAAAGAAATAAATACCTAGAGGATCGTGTACGTGAATTAGAAAATGAAGTTATTAATGAACGTAAATTACGTGATCGAAGAGAATATTTGGAAAAAAAGGTCTCAGAGCTTGAGATAGAGGTACGAATATAAAATCACCATTCATTCCATAAGGATTATCATTTCATATATGCATAAATCATACTTTTCTTTGTAATGAAATAGAAAAATCTTCTTAAATCTCTTTTATTGGAACGTAATGGAGCACCTGAGACCAATCATATTCATGAAAAGAAACGCAAGGCGACATCACCAATTGAGCCACCAAATCCATCGAAGCATCAGAAGGATGGAGACCGCATTATAATTCCGCAGTCATCTCAATAGATTGTCATTATTATAATTATTATGGTTATTCTTTTTTCATCGAGCTTTTTGAGTTCGAAGAAAACGCATGCGATCCTAGAACTTAGGATCATTATAGTACATTATGACTTGAAGTATTTTTTCAGTTATTTGTTTATTTTAATTATTTTTGCAAATAGTCTAGCAAATTAAATTGTGAAATTGAGAAAAAAAAAAAAGAATCTATATCAAAAAATACGATATTGGAAATGGAATGGAAGTGTTTTATGAAAAGAGTTCGAATCCTTTTTTAGGTATAACCTTTAAAAGTCCAATATCGTATCATACCGCATTGTAACATAAAGAACTATAGTGCGAACAGTCTAATAACGTAAAAAATTTAGCATAACATCAAAATTTAACAGATAATTATATGTAATATTGCAATATGATTGATTGGTCAAATTTGCAAAAGAAAAAAAACTTTTCTTACAAGCGAAAACTTTAAAACAAATGTTATATTTAAAATTTTGGATCTTTTCAATATAATACGTAGTTTGATAAATTTTACTAAAATGATCAAATTACGTATTTTTTTCTTAATATATATATATATTTTTTATTGAATAGATACAATTTTTCCAATAGTTTTAAATCACACCAGTGGTGCTCAGCACCATATATATTTTTCGCTATAGAAGTAAAATTTAAGGTTAGGGTTAGAAGTTAGAGCAAGAATAGAAGTTAGAGGTTAAAAATTAATGTTGAAATTAGAAAGAGGTTTTGAGGCAGAGAATTTTTCTTAGAATGTTTAAGATATAGCAACTATGGTGCTAACACCGGTGATGTGATTTATTGTAGTAAGGCCACAATTTCTTTTTTTACAAAAAATAAATTGGATGTTTTTAAGCTGTTCGCCTATATATACCTATATACCATATGCATAGGTACCCATAGAGTAGAGTTCCGAACCGGATGTAAAATTGTCACCCGGATCACCGGTATAATCTGAACCGGTTGAAATAATCGTGACGGATTAGTTTTTTTAAATTTTCGAGGGTGGAGTTCGATTCGATATTATCGAAAAATAAAAAAAAAAACTGATTCAGTTCGAATCTGAGATCCGGACAATAAGCATGAAAAAAATAATACGATAGTACAAATACAAACCTGTAAATAGTGTTGTGACCTGGGAGAAACTTTGACTAGACACAAACTTAGCGCAGGGCCACAGACATAAACTTGGGGACGATGGTGCAGTTAATGTATTCTCTCTTCGTCGTACTCGTTGCGGGTTTTATATCGTTATCATCGAACAATAGTGCCACACGGTTCTCAAATAAGTTATCCAGTATTGGAATATGCAGTCACGAAAGTTTTCTGAACCCACGCGTGTAATTCGACTTTTACTAGCTTGGCTATTATACTTGACTGGAGTATTGTTTAGGTACTTCCACCTAATAAGCATTATTTAGTACGTGTTTTCTAAAACCAATCATTGGGACGATTCGCCTGCACCACAGTAGGCAACAAAAGTAACGCCCGATAGCTTTTTTTATAGTAAAACATATAAAAATTGAAATTTATATAATATATAAAAGTCAGTTTTGATTTATGAAGTTTATAATTCAAAATTTTATATGTAAAACATATAAAATTTGTAAATTTGACTTTAAAATTAAAATAAAATTTCAAAATCTTTTTAAAAAAAAACTTTACTATAATTATTAATAGCATTACTATTATATTTTAAGGGTAATATAAAATAAAAAATTATTATCGTTATTATAAAAAAATATAAGTTTTAATATAACACAAAATTTACAATTCAATTTTACAAAATTTACATAGTAAAAACAATAAAAATTCAAAATTTTAAAATTGTTAAAATCTGAAGTTTTAATAACGATAATTAGAAAATTTGATAATTATATTTTACGACGTATAATTTTCACCGGGGCTAAAAAAAAATCGTTTTTTTTTCTACGTAATAACAAAATTAATTTTATGCATCAACCTTTATTTTTACACCAAAATTAATTTTATGCATCAACCTCTATTTTTACACCAAAATTCCGAGCCGGATGCAATGTTAGCTAACAGTCTACGTATACGTAGCAAAATTATTACTGCTACTTTCATAATTCCTGGAACACCTGATAAAAATTGACCGAATGATTTTTCGGCCGATCCGGTTAA